TTTTTCTTTTTTTTATTCTTGTTTCTTTTTTCTTCCTCTTCTTCTTTTTCTTCTCCTTCTTATTATTTTCTTCTTTTCTTTTTCTTTTATTCTTTTTCTTCTTCTTGTTTTTCCTTCTTTTTTTTCTTCTTCTTTTTTTCCCTTCCTCTTCTTATTCTTTTTCTTCTTGTTTCTTTTCCTTCCTCTTCTTCTTTTTCTTCTGCTCCTTATTATTTTCTTTTTCTCCTTCTTCTTATTTTCTTGTTCTTTTTCTTCTTATTCTTCTTCTTGTTTATTCTTCTTCTTTCTTTTCCTTCCTCTTCTTCTTCTTCATTTTCTTCTCCTCCTCCTTATTCTTCTTTTTCTTCTTTTTCTTCTTCTTCTTCTTCCTCTTCTTCTTCTTCTTCTTCTTCTAGTCCAGCTCGTCTACTTTCCTTCCAAGCTCCTTTCCAAAATGGTTGTGTTGACTTTCATCCAGTGCGAATGTGTACATTGAAGCGACTCATGCCGGAGCCAGTACAAATCAGGGACAGTGAACGTGGGCAGGTATGCAATTATTTGTGTGTTTTCTTTTCACCTCTGCCTGAATGCGTGCATGTTTATGCATGCGTGTGCCGTAAGCTGAAATTCCCCAACTGTGATGTGTTCCAGCTCTGAACATGTCGGTGGCTACAAATCATACGACAGTCGTTCATGTCGATTGCGGCCTCGTCTACTGGCAGGCTCGAGGAGAGAGACGTTTTTCAGCACACGCTTTGCCACGAAATGAAGTCACCTCGACACGTGCCAGAGTGAGGATTCATCGAGGACCGGTTGGTCTTTTGTAAAGCCACAAGCTCGATTTGGCTCGACATGTCGGTCGCACTGAAACTGGCCAACAAGTGGTCGACACACCGACAGTGGGCCTCACGCATGTCCACAAGCGGAAATTCGTTGCAATTGACGTGCAATGAAGAACGACTTTGTGTGCAATAAAGTTGGTAGAATGTTGAACAACATCTCCGGCCACTCCTGCCGAAGCCCGGGACCTGAGGACAAGGACAACCTGAGGATGCGGATTTGCATTAAACCGATACCTTCCTCCTCCTCTTCCCCCCTTTTCACATAAGGATCGAGTAAGTTCGTCCACTCATTATTCTAATTCTTCTCGTGTGTTTCACCCATTTCCATTATAAAATCCAGCCTGCACATGCTGCCCATTTGTGAAAGAATATCCACACACTTGCTCTTCTTGGCGGCTTGATTTTGCAAAATGCCAACAGCTTACACTCTCAGTTCAGCATGCGCCCTGTCTCGCACCTTCACCTTCACCTTCACCTTCGCCTTCGCCCTCATCTTCACTTGCGTTCTTCACTCTCTTCCTATCACTCCACTCTCCTCACCGTCGGCTGGGCTCCTTTTCCTGTTCAGCTCCGTTCTCCCACTTTCCGCTCCTTGCATCTCCCGCTGATTGCACAGTCTGCCCTGCCCCCAGCCTCCATTCACATCCACTTGCAGGTTTGCAAATGGTGCCATGCTCCTCTTCCGCTGCCCATTCATACCTGCGCATCACCTTGCCCGGTCGTCTATACCTACTTTTGTCTGCCTGTCGACATGATTGGGGATTCAACTAACCCAGTCTGATAACAATCTAAAGCGCGATAATTCGGCACAGACTGTCAAAACTTCGCTACAGACCAGAAAGTAAATTCGCTTCTTGCTCAGCCTTTGTATGTGGGGGGAGAGGAAGATGTGTATGTGTAGGTGTGTGTGTGTGTGTGTGTGTGTATGTGCATGTATGTACCTGGGTGTGGGCACTGATGCATACTCGCGATAGAGTATACGGGCAAGCAAATAGGTCGATGCAATCTCTCCTTCCGGCCAGCAAAGCGTTGGTCAGGAAAGGGTCAGAGACACAATTGTATGAAAGCATAAATGCACATCAACTGTGGCGCAGACCAGGTGCCCTACCAACATGAAGGCATTGTCTCCGCAGCGACTCGTGTCTGCGCAACACCATCAACGCAATGTGGTTGTGCAGATGAAAATGGATTGCGCTCATCAATTCGGACTTATTACAATCGGTTGGATTAAGTTGAATCGGTTGCTTGCGGTTGAAAATGAGCTGGGTCCATCTTGGACGGCGAGTTCAGAGCCTTCAGTAGAGCTGATCGTTGAGAACATGAGTTTTATCGTCATTCAGGACAAGTCGAGCATCGTCCAAATCACATTGTATCGTGGGAATATCGATTAGGCAAACATGTGTTTGCCATTACAATCGACGATATTACTCAAATGGGATATGAGTAGTCTTTGATACTGTCGTTAGTTCGTGAATATGAATTTAGTCAGTCAATGTCGCTTAAGCAAGGCAAAATAAAGAGAAATCCATTGGTCTACTCGTGCGACTGCAGCGAAAGCCGGCCATCAATCCTTAAGACGCATTAAACAATCGAGGTCCGCAAAATTCTTATTCAAGCACTAATGCTACTTACGAAAACTACTCGTGCCAAAATTGGCTTCCTATAATACGATGCCTTGAAGGAAACGCTAGAATCCTGCATTTGAAAACATCGTTCGTATACCGGATGATATTGGTTGTGGCTTGGCCACCCGAAACGGAACAACCACTCGTTACGACAAGATGACTGTCTCTTTTCGCTCCCCCAAGGTTTGAATCCCTCTGCGAGGGTAGATTGAGTCGAAGTGTAGTTCAGGCGGGAGTTGAAGATAGCCTTTTTCGCCATACGCCAAAGTGATCGGGTACAAACTTTCTTTCAGCACCAAAAGAAACCTGTACAAATTGGTATGACTCGACATCGATCAGCCCCTCGATGGCCTCGAAACAAAAAAGCCATTAACCCCGCGTCTCCGACGCCGGTGAACGGCGAGCCGACAACCTTTGCACCCTCTAACCCGCTATTGACCAAACACAGAACACACACGTGGATAAACACATAGATACAGACAAATACACACACACACACATAGGCAGCCGGTAGTGACTAAATTTCACCATTTTGGGGTAGAATTGTTCTCACGATAAGTGATTACATCATTAATAGTCAGACGGCAAAGCAACCCCCGAAAACAGTGTTTCGGCCAATTTGACCCTCAAGGGGTGCGTGTCTGCGTGTCCGTTTCTGCAGCCTCAAGTGTCCGACAGCACATCAAATGGCAGACATAGAGACGGTACCAAACAGAAGGTAAATATAGTGAATATCATTTTGTTAAGTATGAAAATTCCCTAAAAGATCTTTCTAGGGTCTATTTGCAAGTCAAGTAAAAGGATGAGCAGCATCTTGTGATGGTGGACTATGCGAAACGGTGACCTCGAGCGCAAGAAAGCTACCAAAAGTGAGGTCACCTGGGTTGGTGAGGCCGAAAAGAGCAGCATTTCGGTTTGATTAAAGGCCTTAGAGACGGAGTTCACGAAAGACAACGAGGTTAAGTGATGCACAAAGTTGGCAAAGCGAACGTTTTGTCTCAATCTGCACTGGACCTTTAGCGCAAAATGGCAAATGGCCTCACTTGCTTGCGTGTGCTCATAGCACCGCGGATCGTGGCTCATACAATCTGTGGGGGAAGGTGTGAAATTGGCTAAAGCCGACAGGATATGGTTGTGTGTGTGTATGCCGAGGAGACGGGATGTGAAGGCGGGTGTGATGCGAGGAGAAGAGGAGTGAGGAATTGCATTTTGGAGGAATGTGTGTGTGTCAAGAGGAAATGCATGCGTGTCTCTCCAAAATGGAGACGACCGAAGCGATTTGGTTCGGTCTGGCACTTTCGGGTTGCCAGTTTTTTCGCTTCTTGTGTCACTCCGCCCGATAGACATTTTCACAACAAAGTGGACCTTTCTCCTGCGCCGCTTGCGCATACTCGCAACCGCGAAATACTTTCGAGGTGTAAAGGTTGGTTTACTTGGCGCATGGCGATTGAATGCAGAAACATGTGCGTACATGTGCTTGTGTTTGTTGGTCTGTGCTGCCGGTACATTGTGGCCGGAAACAGAGCAGATGGCCTCGAGGAGCGCCAGACCAAAGGGGATCCGGGTTGTCTTCTGATGGGTCGACATGCACGCATCTCCTCGTCGGACGGCAAACTCTTTAACCGAGGCTGTGTGTGTGTGTGTGTGTCTATATATATAAATATATACAAATGAAAAAAGATATCTCCAATTGAGCTAAGCTTAAAAAGATAAACCGATTTACAAATGGGCGTTGGCGGTCCTACTGAATGAAGGAAGCGCAAGAATTGACATGTAGAGTGAGCTAAAACACAACGTATTATCAGCATGAGTATGTTTCGAAACTAGCAGTAGTTATTGAATTAGATTTCAGACAGCCTAAGTTGCCACCCTTCCCGTGGCCCGGTTTCGAGTCCCGTCAAGGCGTCGGATTGGACGAAGAGGCCAGAGTGGGGCCACATTGTGTGGCGGGGGGCTACTTGAGTGTATTGTAGTCGTTAGGTTTTGCGATGGTGTGATAAAGTCCACTCTCATTTGTTGGCCGATGGGGGCTTGATAGTTGACTTTTTCCACAATCCGATGAATGTATCTCACCTTTCCATTGCATTTCACAAGGCCTTGCGTCGTTGGACGAGATAGGGCTTTGGGGGGAATCACGAGATTTAGTTGCACAATCGTGGGGAAATTCATCTTTCGACCCTTCTTCATCTTATGCGACCCAGTGGGGATACAGCTTTTGGCGGATAAAGACGACTGACCTGATGGGCCCATTTGAGGGTGACATCAAATGAGTCAAGAATGCCCATTTGGCTGGGGAGTATTGTAGAGGGAATAGACACATGTACCAACTCTGCCCACTTGCCATCCGGTCGACAAGTGTGAAGTGAAGTGGAAAGGAAGTTGGGGAAAAGAACTTTGCTTAATCGGTTCACTTGGCTGGAGCAGCTTTCGCAACTGCCTGCAGGTCGCAATTAAGAGCTTTATTCACGTAAAGTCGACAGTTGCGTCGTTCCGCCGACCGAAGCGACGCCATTCAATCTAAATTGGTCTTGCAGAAGCAAAATGCATTCGCATCCACTCCCGGTTGCGGATTCTGAGAATGGTTTTTGTGAGGCCAACCACAGCCCGCATTCAAGACATTCTGGCGGCTTGTTTGGTTTCAGCTCGTTTCTGCAAATCTCCGGCTTTCGACCCTTGACTTGGTACATTGCCGAACATGGTGCCATCGTCGGGACACACTTACAACTTGTCACATTGTGAATGTCAACTCGGTGCCGGCAATGGCGCCTCGGACTGACGAGGCCGGCGAAGCGTCTGCGAATGTACCAATTGCACGGTCCGACTCAGCGAATGATCATGCATACTCTGGACTGCGGACACGGTGCGTTGCTCTGCGTCGTCCTGCCAACACGACCAAGAGGCGAACACAAGGTCAAACAACTGGTGTACAACCAAAAAGAGAACGCAACCATAAAAAAGGTCACACCATCTTTGTCTTCATACTGTCGATAAGTAAAAATGGTTGACTGGGACTGGAACCAAGTGAAACCGGTCAACCGGTAAGATGAAAAACTATCCTACTCGATCATGACGCAGATCAGGATTGGAGGCCTCAGTGGGATTAGATGATGAAAAGAGAAGAAGAGGTGGTAATCGAGGTAAAGGGCTGGTGTGATGAAGCTACACTTGATTTGCCACAAAAGGACACCCCACTTTACGAGGGGAATGTATGCGAATAAAAGTTGGGCTTCGAGCAATCTCTTGTTTCATAATTGTTGAGCTTATTTCCGTTTCGAGTGAAGGTGTTGGGTGAAGAGATTCCAAGTTTGCTTCCATGACGGATCATCTTCTTCGATTCCTGTGAAAAGTTACTAACGTCCGACATGCGACAAACATCATCAGAGCAAGGAGGGTATCATCGTGACAACCAAATTAAAGCTAAATAGTCAAGAAGACTCACTTTCATCCTCTCTCTCCTTCAATCTATCAATCAAGCATAATTTAT